TTTTTATCAGAGCTTCTCAATTTGTTAAAGTAGTATTGGACTCTTTCAGCTTTAATTGGTACTGGTTGGGATCCCGCTGTCGTGAGATATTTTTTAAAGGTCTCTGCATCTACCACATATGTGTCTTCTTTTTAGGAGAAGCTATTCCAATCTATGCAGAAATAGAGAATTGTTCCTCTCGTCTGATTGTTCCCAAAGCTGCCATTTTCCAAACCCAGACATATTTGGGGAGTGGAAAAACAAAGACCATCCGTCACATGGTTGCCAATGTGCGGGGTAACCACATTGCTTCTGGGAGCACAGACACATGGAATGGGAAGACCCTGAAGATCCCGCCTGTTACCCCATCCATCCTGGATTGCTGCATTATCCGAGTGGACTATTCCTTAGCTGTAAGCACAGTGCTCCCTGAAATTAAAAATACGTAGAATTGAACAATAGCTAATGCCATGTTAACTGAATAGGCATAGTATTATCCCTATTTTATATCAAATTATACAATATATGAAGATTGGCCTATTTTTCAATCAAAAATTATCCCTCAAAGGGATTTAATTAAATAGAATGAAAATATTGAGGTGCCCTAATGGATGCTCACTATATTAAAGACATATACTTAATTTCTTGGTGGTGCAAATGGTTAAGCTCTTGACTGCTAACCAAAAGATTGATTGGCAGTTGAAACCTACCAGTGGCTCCACAGGAGGAAAAAACCTGATGATTTGCACCCACAATGATTATAGTCTAGGAAACCATATGGGACAATTCTACTCTGTCCCATAGGGTCACTATGAGTGGAAATCAGCAACACATTATATAAACCATACCAGATTAAAATGAAGTGTGCTAAGGTCCCTGTTGGGCAGTTTTAATTTGATAATCACTATTGAGTTTGAGTTTGAGTTTGTTAGGAGCTCTGGTAGCATGCCTAAGGCACTTGACTGCTAACCAGAAGGCTGGCGGTTCAAATCCACCAGCCACTCCTCAGAAGGAAGGTTGGGCAATCTACTTCCATAGTGATACT